TTAATCTCTCTTTTTCTGAAGGAATTGTACCCGATCATTGGAAAATAGCGCTAGTTTTACCTCTTTTGAAGAAATTTGGACTTGATTTTATGTTTGAAAACTTCAGACCTATAAGCAACCTGCCATTTGTTGCCAAGTCTGCTGAGAAGGCAACGATCTCTCAGTTATCTATACATTGTGCTGAAAATGCCCCTTTTCCCGAGTATCAATCAGCGTATCGGAAAAATCACTCAACAGAAACAGCTTTACTAAAAGTCCAGAAGGACATTCTCCTCAGTATGGATCAGCAGGAGGTTACGCTTCTTGTGCTTATCGACCTAAGTGCCGCATTTGATACTATCGACCATGCTATCTTACTGGAGACACTTGAAAAAGACTTTGGCGTAACTGGAAATGCCCTCAAATGGCTAACATCTTATTTATCCGAGAGAAAACAAACAATTTTAATTAAAGACCATGAATCGGAAGTTTTCAATCTTCAATCGGGAGTTCCGCAGGGTAGCTGCCTTGGCCCTGTCCTCTTCATACTCTATGTGGCTGGGTTATTTAAGGTTATTGACAAACATCTTCCCAATGCACATACGTATGCAGATGACACCCAGATTTATCATTCGTTTCGGCCGGATACATCTTTATCACAAGATGCTGCACTAAAGAGTATTGAAAACTGTGTTGCTGACATTCGTGCCTGGATGCTTTCTAACCGTCTCTTGATAAATGATTCCAAGACTGAATTTATTATCATCGGTTCAAAGCAGCAAATGTCAAAGATTAACATCAATGAAATTACAGTTGGTGAATTTACGATCGAGCCTGTGGAGGTGGTTCAAAGCCTCGGAATGTGGTTTGACTCACATATGTCGATGGATATTCACATCGGAAAAGTGTGTAGTAAGGCGTTTCGCAGCCTCTATAATATCCGGCAGATAAGGAAATTCCTTTCAGAAGATACAACAAAGATTTTGGTTCATGCTTTTGTTACTTCACACCTGGACTACTGTAACTCATTGTTTTATGGTCTGCCACAGTCTCAATATGATAGGTTACAAAAAGTTCTCAATGCTGCAGCACGTGTGGTCTGTTTAATCCCCAAATTCGATCATATTACTCCCGTTTTGATTGGCCTTCATTGGCTTCCTGTACGGTATCGGGTGATTTTCAAGATTTTGTTGCTGGTGTACAAGGCTCTTCATGCTAATGCACCGCCTTATATCTCAGACCTTCTGACACCTAAGCATATTGGTTGCTACAGCCTGCGCTCGAATGAGCAAAATTTGATAATAGTTCCTAAGACAATGAGGAAAACGTTTGGCGACAGAGCTTTTGCCAAGGCTGGTCCATTTTTGTGGAATGAACTTCCCGCTGACATTCGTGAAGCGTCAACAGTGGAAACTTTTAAAAGCAGACTTAAGACCTTTCTTTTTAAAAAGGCATTTTATCTTTAAATATAATAGTAAATTTGAACTTCTCGCTGACATTCGTGAGGCGTCAACAGTGGAAACTTTTAAAAACAGACTTAAGACCTTTCTTTTTAAAAAAGGCATTTTATCTTTAAATATAATAGTAAATTTTAAACATGTATATATAGGTATCATCTCATACTTTATAACATTTTATTTGAATTTGTAATGATAGCGCTTTAGAATATTTATAGTTTTTAGCGCTTTATAAATTAATAAATTATTATTATTATTTATTATGATAACTTAACACCACCCCTTGACTATATATGCCTCGAGTTTCGTTCAAATATGTAAAACATTTCGTATGTACAAAAGAACTTCCAAACTCAATTGAAAAGCGAGGAAAACTGAAACGACAATAAAGTTAAAACAATTAAAAGAGAACACTTACTCCATGCTAATAATTTGAGTTTCTTGGAAGGTGTCACGATATGCCATCATGTAATGTCGCTTTAGCTAATAAACACAATGAAAGCAATTTAATCAGTTAAAAACTCACAGCAAGCAATATAGCAATGATGGTCAAGTTTAGAAGTATTTTGACAGTTATGGGAGCAAGTATATTTAGAACAACATCCGTTCTTTTTTATTTATTTACCATAAAATATAACACTTATAAATATATATATATATATATATATATATATATATATATATATATATATATATATATATATATATATATATATATATATATATATATATATATATATATATATATATATATATGTATATATGTATATATATATATTCGTATATTTTCATTATTTTCTTCCCTTATTATTAATCAACGGCCCCTTGAAAATCAGCTACAAGGAACTGTAGATAAACTTGCTGAAGGGCTACCGTTGTATATGTGTGTAAATAAGATTAGATAATAATAATAACAACAATAATGATAATAATAATAATAATAATAATAACAATAATAATAATAATAATAATAATAATAATAATAATAATAATAATAATGAAACATAACGGCTACCAGCCGGGGTTATTTAACGCTAATAATAATATATTAATAATATATTATATTATACTGTAATAATATATTATATTTTATTTATTTGCCATCACCCGCGTGCCTGCATGTCTGTAGTATACAATAGTATACTACAGACAGGCCCGGCTGGTAGCCGTGATGTATTGTAGTATACTATAGTATACTACCGACAGGCTCGGCTGACACACGTATTGCATTGTAGTATTGTATTACAGTTAAATAACCCCGGCTGGTAGCCGTGATCTATGCCGTGATGTATTGTAAATATTGTTTTAAAGAGTAGATACGGCTCCGCTGGTACTGTACCCTTGGCCGTGTACAATGGTGTACGTATTTACGCAATCATAAATTGCGCTGGCTAAGAATAACCTCTATATATACAATAAATGAACATATTTTCCGTGTAAGACGTGGTCGCGCAGGGGAACAGCACTTAACGTGTATGCCGATGGTCGTAAGTTCGAATCCCAGAGTGAGCGCGAATAATTCTCAATGTTTCTCTTTGCCGTAATTTTTTTTCTCGTTTATTTACCTGTCGCATAGCTAGCTGTATGCATTGGGAAGTTGAATTTTGATGCATTTCGATGATTTTCGGAAAATTTAATGTAATTTTGGTGGTTTTCTGCTTATGAAACATTCTAGAACCAGTCTCCGAAATGCGCGCATTTTTTGAACGAATAGTATACTATAGTACAGCCCGGCTGGCAGCCGAGCAATCGGAGACAAAATTTCCGGCTGCCAGCCGGCGTCAAACGTGCTAATCGGGT